ATACGCTTCTGTAGCTCTTTCCCAGGGTAGAGGAACAAAGGAGTGTGACCATTCTCCATTCTCAAGCTCCCTGACCGCCGTCAAAGTTCCGCTTCAAACACGTGCTCTCCCCCAGTCCCCCCGGTACTGAGTAATCCTGGGTCAGCTGGGACCGTGTGTGTAGAGGAGAACCACGCAGCCACCAGGCCCGGGAACAGGACCCCTGCTTAAGGAGGCAGGAGCACATTCACCACCTGGCAGAGGCAGGTCGAGTCCCCAACTGTCTGTCTCTTGGTCCCTCCTCTCCCATCTTTAGCTTTTGGCTCCAGACTGTGTTAGTGGCCCAGAGTCTCTGCCTTCTACATCACCTGGATATTTTATGTCCATCTACTCTACTGGATTTGAACTCTGGTTTGGAGAGGACCAGGCACACGGCAAGTGCCGGGTGGTACCAAGGTCTGTAGTGCTCTAGCGACCATTCTGGACCCCACCCTGATCTAAGGGCCTTGCTTCCTGAGTATTTGGCGTGTCTCTGGAGTTCTAGGGAGGAATTAATTTATCGCTGAGCCAGGCCTGGACAGGAGCAGGAGATGGGTGTGTGTGTGTGTGTGTGTGTGTGTGTGTCTACATTGCTCTGGTACGATGTGAGTTGTCTCCTAAACCCTAGTCGTGATAACTCCGCCTCAGAGCAGACCACCTTCTAGCTCTCCCACATCCCAGGATGCCACAAAAACAAGTCATCCCTCCCATGACTAGACACTGCTTGCCGAGACCAGCAGACTCCTTGAAAGGGCAAGAGCAGACTCCATATTAACATATAGTATTCCTAGATTCTGAGTTTCCATAGTATTATTATTACTTATTATTATTGTGTGCGTACACTGTATTGTGGGATGCACACGTCACGACGCACATGTGGGAGGCAAAGTTGTCAACGGACAATATTGCGGAGTTGGTTCTCTCGTCTCACTTTTATGCGGGTTCCAGGGATCGAACCCGGATCCCCAGGCTTGTGCAGCACCTGCTTCTGTCACGGGCTGCCGGGTCTGGTTTGTTGTGCCTTATATTGTCCGAGCCTTTGGTTACACTAAGTGTATCCCACACTCGAGCTTGTACAGATTCTGTGGAGACCCAGAGTCCTGTGAAATTGGAGCTGGGTGGGTGGGTGGGTGATTGACACCTGTGAAGGAGGAAATGGAGCTGTCTGTATTTTTCCCTTCATGAACTCATCAAATGCATCAAGATAAGCTTGTCTGGATCATTCTTTAGGCTGTTGAGCTGCCCCGGTTGGGAAGTAGGTATTAATTATACATACCCCTCCCCGCCAAACCATGCATCCTGGTGTCCCCCGATTTAGCAGTCTGCCTTGTACTCCGGCATGGTGGTGCATGCTATGAAGAGGCAGGCAGAAATCTGTGAGTTCAAAGCCAGTCTGGTCTACATAGTGAGACTCCATCAGCCAGGCCTTCATAGTGAGATCCTGTCCCCCAAAATAAACAAAACTACAACCCTCTGTCTTGCAGGGCAGGAGCCCCAGCTTAGTTCAACTTCAGCCTCGCTGGAAAGAGTGGGCCACTTCTTCTTTTAAAAAATATTTACTTTTTTATTTATGTGTACACGTGTGTGTCTGAGTGTTTGTATGTGCACATGTGTGTGGCTAACTGCAGAGGCCAGAAGAGGGCATTCGATACCCTGGAGCTGGAGTTTCAAATGGTTATGGGCGGTTCAACATCGGTGCCACACATGGACCTTGGATCCTCTTGCAAGAACGGGAGGCCTTCTTAACCGCTGAGCCATCCCTCCCGCCCCGTCTTAAAAGACAGATGCATTTATTCATTTGTGTGTAGGGGTGCACATGCTGAGGTCAGAGGACAACTTGCAGGAGTCAGTTCTCTCCCGCCATGTGGGTCCTGGGGATTGCACTCAAGTCGTCAGGATTGATGGCAAGCGCTTATACTACCAAGTCACCTCACCTACTGCAAGCCGCCACTCTGAGGGATACCTTCCTTCCCTATTCTAGCTGCTTTCTTGGGTTCCTCTGCCTCGGGAACCTTAAAGTCACCCCGAAGCTGGCCACAGTCGTTCATCAGTTCTCTGGCATGAATTAGCCGGGTGCCATCCAGCCTCCCCCACAGCTGCCAAGTCACAGGAGGGCCAGAGTTGGGAGAGCACCTTTATTTGAAATAACATCACAGGTCTCAGATCACGTCTTGGTAGAGACAGAGAATAATAGCCCAGGAATAGCCAACAGGGCCCAGGGGGACAAGGTTACAACCTTGCATCAGCACCAAGAGCTTCAGGGATGCTTGCTACTGCCAAGCGAGGAGACATACCCGAGGGTGGTACCAGCCCTTTCTGTTCTCTGAGTGTAAGGGTCGTGGCCCGGGGAGAAGAACACCAGGGTAGGAGGGTCATAGGAGGCCAAGCACCAGTCAGAGAGGCCTTCAGAGCTGTGCACCAGCTCTGCCGGGCAACCTGCCAGGACCCCAGCCCCAAGGTGTGGGGGCATGGCCTCTAGCAAGCCGAGGACATGGGCAGTTTGATTCTCCGTTGAGGGGACACGGACTTGCATTGTCCCCCCAAAGCAGAAGGCTCTAGAGATATCCATAAAAGACTTGGGGTAACAGAGGCTGAAGGTCCTCTCCTGGGTGGACAGTCCCACCAAATGCTCCCTCCTTCTCCATGGGGGAAGACAAGTGGGGACCAGTGGGCTCAGCAAGACTGGGAGACAGCAGGGAGCATTGCCCTCTGCTCCTCTCATCCCCAAAGACCCTACCTCCTGGTCCCCAAGTCCACTCCGGAAGCTGTCTCCCTGTCCCCAACCCTAGGGAGTGACCAGAGGAAGCCAGGCAGGTCCAAAGCCCTGTAGCACCCCAGTATCTTCTCAGGCAGCCCCGCCTCCCAGCAGCCCGGCTGCCTCAGGAGCCCTCTGGGCTACACACCTCATGGAGAGGAGAAACTAGCAAGAGTTGTACGTCATGGCTTCAGCAACAGCGAGGCCTGGGTTAAAACACCATACTGTGCCCCCCACCCCGCCCCCACTGATATCCAGGATCTGGGTCATGTGTACTCTCCACACCTCGGTCCCCAGGCTGAGTGGGGATCACAGACCTACCTTTTAAGGGTTAAATGAGACAATATAGGGAAATCACCTTAGCTGGCCCTGGCCCCTGAGGGAGCAGGGGCGCAGCCATCCAGAACTCTGGTTATTCTCCTACCTGCCATCCAGCCCACCCAGACCCCGTCTCCAGCCGGGAGTGGGAGGTGGGGGACAGGGGCAAAAGAAGGACTCTGTCGGGGTGCTAATCTGCACTGGGCTTTGCCCCTTGGAGGCACCATCTGTCCCCAAGGACCCCAGGCTCCCAATGTCTTTCACGATCGTCCCTGCCTGATGCCCAGTCCCGCACGGGGCATCTTCAGGATGCAGCAGCGGTTGAGCCCCAGGGCTGGGCTTGTTCTTACTTCCCGTCGCCAGCCTGGTCCGCGCTCTTTTGTGCAGGGTCAGGGCCCAGCAGGGCAGCCAGGATGCCGTCGGGTTGAGGGCCTCCCCGCTTCATCTTGAGGTTGGCTCTCAGGGCCGCGTCCTGCCCAGAGCCTCCCTCAGGGGAGGCCAGGGGATCTGGAAGGAGGACAGAAGGGTTTGCTCAAGACAGCCTCAGTGTACCCAATGGCCTCTGCTCCCAGAGCCTGGGCGTGTCCAGTGCGAGGAGGCAAGCAGGCTCCGTCCCGCATTCATTCACGAACACATTCACTCATTTGCTAATGCACTCACTTATTCATTCAGCAGCACACACATTCATTCATCTATTAATTTGCTTACCCATTCACACATACAGTTCCCCATTCAGTTTTCCCTGTTCATTCATCTTTTCCATTCATTCACCCATGGAGTCATGCCACCATTCATTCATTTTTCCATTCATCCATTTTCCCATTCATTTGTTCACCCACTAGTGCATTCTTTCATCTACCTACTCATTCACCTGTTCATTCATCCCCTTCTTCATCCATTCACCTACTTACCCCTCCTCCCATTCATTCTCCCACCAAGTCACCCTCCATTTGTTCGTTCCTCCATTCACTACTTATCTATGCACCTGCCCACTCATTCTTTAACCAATACCAAGAGGCATGAGCTCCAGACTCCGCAGAGGCACCAGCCACCCCCAGCTTATAAAAGGAATCCCCAGTGTCTCAGGAACACAGGGAAAACTCCACGAGGACAAGGACGATAAGGACAAAGAGGAGGGCTCAGGATAGCTTCACCAAGGAGCACATTCTGATGTGGGCAGCAGGTAGAGGGACTGGCCTGAGCAAGGCATAGAGGTGGGAGGCAGCCTGGCTTGTCTGGGTGTGGCTGGTCGTCCCCTGTGAAGCCAGGGAGGGGGGCTTTGACATTGAATGTCCTTGAGCAGATGAGGGACAGATTCAGAGGGGTTTAGCGTGGGCCATCGGACAATACCATGGTGGAGTCCCTGAAGCAGGGGACCACACAGCTTTAGCAGCCCCCACGAGGACAGTAGGTCACGGAAAAGTGGGAGGCCTGGTTGCTACTCACCGTGGACCCCAATCATGTGTTCCAGAATGAGGACCCTCTCTGCCAGGATCTTCAGGGCCTCTCGAAGCTGCTGCACACCCTCACCCTGGTGTGGATGAAAAGCCAAGTTCAGGGTCTCAGTCAGACTGGGGTGAGGACAGGCACAGAGGCTATGCAGACACAGTGGACATCCCTCACAGCCCTGCCTCTTCGGCAATGTCCACATCACTACAGACAGCCATCAGAGCTGACCACTGGCTGTGTACCAGGCTGGTGCTCCCAACAGGACTCACCAACAAGCAGCTCAAAACCCAGTCAACCAGCATCCCCGTAGTTACCCAGCATGGACCGTGCTGACCGGGGCTTCAGCCCGAGACCTGATGGGCTCAAGCCTAAGTTTTTCTCCTGCCGTGGTTTCCTAAGGGCTCCTTCCCAGCATGCCCTATGATGATTTTGTTTGTTTATTTGTCATTTGACGCAAGATAGAGTTATCTGGAAAGAGTAACCTCAATTGAGACAATGCCCCCATCAGATTGGCTTGTAGGCCAGTCCATGGGGCATTTTCTTGATTAATGATTGATATGGAAGGGCAGAGCCCACTGTGGGAGGTGCCATCCCCTAGGCAGGTGGACCTGGATTGTATCAGAAAGCCAGTAAGCAGCATTCCTCCACAGTTTCTGCTTCAGGTTCTGCCTCTAGGTTCCTGCCTTGAGTCTCTGCCTTGAGTTCCCCTGATAATGCACTGTAACCCATAAGCTGAAATAACCCTTTCCTCTCCATGTGGCTTTGGGTCACAGTGTTTATTGCAGTTTGCAAAAGAAAGCAAACTGAGACGAACAGCATGCATTAACCGCTGAGCCATCTCTTCAGCCCTGATTCATCATGTTCCTGAGAGACACAGCTCAAACTCCAACAGACCCCTACTTCCCCACACAAAAGATGATCTCAGAAAGGTTGTGCACTTAAATGTAAGAGCCCAAACCATAAAGCCTTTAGAAGCAAATGTAGGTGACAGTAATTTTGACCATGGATTAGGTGATGGTTTCTTTGATGTAGCACTTGAAATACAAACAATGACTGAGAACAAGGACAAATTGAGTGCCTTAGATGAGATTTTTTTTTCCACAACGAGGGATGCTATTAGAATACAAACTCACTCGTAAAATGGAAGAAAACAGTTGCAAACATTGGACACAGTATTGGGTTGTTTTTAACTTGGAATATACGAAGAGCTCTTACAAGCTTTGGCTTCCCCGATGATGGACTGCACCCTGAAATCCAAATGAACCCCAAGTCGCTTGGGTCACAGTATTTATCACAGCAACAGAACTAACTCTGACTAGGACACCCACCTTCCAGAAAACACCAAGAGGCCAGAGCACTCAACTCAGGGCCTGCAGGTAGAGAAAGCGATCTGTAACTGCCTGGACTGTCCACCTGAGAGCGTTGGCCAAGTCAGCTTTGTGGACTAGGCTGAGCCGAGCCAGAAAAAGGCTCGAGATGGCCAAACCTCCCCAGAGTGCTGGTAGGAGCTAGTGCCAGGCACATTTCCAGAACCTTCATTCCATGCGGCTCCGTGTGAGGAGATACCCTGACCGCACTAAGGTGAGCTGCTGACCTTTGAGAAGATGGACACCAAGGCAAAGGCAAGCCAGGTGGCCAAGGGACAAGGCTGTCACCCCTGAGCTGGAGTCAGGGCGGATGTGTGTCTGCCTGTGGAACATGGCGGATCTGCTATTCCACTCAGAGTCAAGCAGGGTCAAAGAGAGTTTACTAGGTGGTAAGAGTGAAGTCTTCAGTAGGAGAGAGAAGGCAGCTGTGTGCAGGGTCCATGCCTCTGGGGGAAAGGGGAAGGGGAAGGGGCTGTGGGCGGGGAGCAGGGTCTTCAGAGACCTAGACAAGCTCTTCCTCTCTTTCCTCTCTTCTTCTCTCTTCCCCTTTCTTCCCTTCTCTTTTCCTTTCCCTTCCTTTTCTCCCTGTCCTTCCCCTCACCTCTCTCCCTCTCCTATTTTTCTATCTTTTCCTCTCTCATCTGATTTCATTTTTCCTTCCCATCCTTAGGTGCTTTTTGTTCTTGTTTTTTAGACAGGGTCTCATTATGTAGCCCAGGCTAGCCTTGAACCTGTGCTCTTTCTGTCTCAGCATCCTGAGTATCAGGATCGTCTTTTCCTTAAGAACAGCAAGCATTTCCCAAAGCTCCTCCCCCTCTCCCATGCCCTGGCACCACCTCACTCCTGCAGGAGCCCAGGCCTCCTCCACCCTGCTCCCAATCTCCCAGCTCACTCTCCTAGCACACACAGGAAGCCCTCAATGGTCACTTCTGTTGCCAGCCTTGTTTGTTTGTTTGTTTGTTTGTTTGTTGTTGTTGTTAGTTTTTCAAGACAGGGTTTCTCTGTGTAGTCTTGGTGCCTGTCCTGGAACTCACTCTGTAGACCAGGCTGGCCTCAAACCCACAGAGATCCACCTGCCTCTGCCTCCCGAGTGCTGGGATTAAAGGCATGCACCACCACTGCCTGGCCCCAGCCTATTTTTGCTGCCATTTTTTGTTTTTTGATCCCCACCCCACCCCATCTCACCCTACCCTACCCCCACCTCCCAAGATCTCAGGTCCCCCATGCTGGCTGAGGACAACCTTGAACTTCATGCACGCTGGGCAAGTACTCTCCCAATGGAGCCACACTCCCAGCCCTGCTTTTTACAGCCTCCCCTGAGGACCCCAACACCCTGGTTCCTTTTCCTCAACCTCCAGTCTCTTCTTGTTGCCATCCTCCCTCATCAGGATTTGACGTGAAGCCCCTCCCTCTACCTGTTGTGACTCACATCCACCAGCCCACATCCACCTCCTTGGTGTGGTGGCTGCTCTTTGTAACTTGATGCTTGATAAGGGGCAGTGTCTTCTCCGCAGGTTTGTGGTCCCCTACCAGCCACTCCTGAGAATGCTCCTCCCATTCCAGTTCCCAGGGTCAGTGGCTCCAGCTGTGGCAGACTCACAGTTGCAAGAGTATTCACACTGTCACCTCACTGAGCTGAGAACTACCCGAGGACAAAGAGGGACTCTATCCTCAGCAGCCAGTACCCATCTCAGGGCTGGCCTTGGGGTTCCCAGCTTTTACCTCTAGTACATGATGTTGTGGAATAATCCTTTTGTACACTGTGAAGATGTGCTTCTGTCATTGGTTTAATAAAGAGCCAACTGGCCAATAGCTAGGCAGGAAGAGGTTAGGCAGGAGAGAAGACTGAGAGAATGCAGGGATGAAGAAGAGTGGGGTTGTGAGGAGACACGGGGAGAAGAAAGATGAACACATTGTGCTGAAAAAGGTACCACCATGTGGTAGAGCATAGATTAAAAAATATTAGTTAATTTAAGTTGTAAGAGCTAGTTAGTAACAAGCCTAAGCTATTGGCCAAGCATTTATAATTAATAAATCTTTGAGTGGTTATTTGGGAGCTGGCTGGTGAGACACTCTAACAGGCATAGTTACCTCTGCAGTGGTGGCTTTGTCCTCTTCTCCTTCCTTCACACTGGACTCACCCTAGGAAGCAAGTCTCATGGTCAAGATACTGGGTGCAGTGCAAGGGCACCTCACCACCCATAGGGACATGCAGAGACTGAAGACAGATGGTCTGGGGTGAGACAAGGGAGAGAGAGGTATACACCAGGACATCACTTGTGCAGCCCTTTATAGAGAGGTATGTAGGATCACCCTAAGAACTGCTTCTGAAATGGGGTACTCAGGCTTGGAACCTGGGGATCTCATGTGTCAGCTCTTCTGAGTGTTTATTAAATTGCCTTCATCTCTGGGCTCTGTTTCTCTGTCTCTAAAATGGAGGCCAGTAAGGCTAACCACATAGCATAGCATATATATGGCCAATGACTGCTTTGTGACTTCTAGAGGGTTGCTTATCCTCTCTGTGACTCCATCACTCACTTCTAAAAGGTGATTAATAATAATACCTATCTTGTTGCTATTAAGGGGATGGAGTAGATTAATACTGAGCAGGAGCTTAAACTAGCTTGGATTCTAGAAGTGTTGTCAAAGCTGTTGCTGCCATTTTTCACTGGACAGAGGCACAGGAGGAGGCAAGGTTTAGAGGCTGACACTCCTAAGTTCAAAATTCCAGCTCTACTATTATATAGCTGTGTGATTTTGGGGGAAATTATTTAATCTCTCTGAGCCTTAGCTGCCAGTTCCAATTAATCAGTATAATAAAGCATAGTCTGGGTAGGTGATAGCGAGACTTAAATACATGATGAAGGCTACTCCCCCACTGTATCAGCACACAGTAGGTATTCAGCAGAGATCCATCCTCTACCTCCTGATGCTGATATGAGGCTTGAACATGAAGTATCAGCTTCTTTGGTCTTAGAGACTGGAGCTGAAACCTATAAATTCTTGTGTCGGAGAAGAATTATGGAAGCCAGCTGTCTGAGCACCAGATTCTAGGAGGTCCAAAGAACCAAAGATACCTTCCTGGTCATACAAATTAGTAATATTTGTAGCCCTAGGCTTCAAAGTATTAATATAAAATCCTAGACAACTTGGTATATTAACCCAGGTAAGCTGTGACTAGACCTTCCCAGGACAAGCCTCAACTTGAGGCTGTACCTGGTTCCTGCCCTCTAATCCCTCTCCTAGTTGGAATAGACAAGCCTATGTTTGGGGACACTATAGGACTGCACACAGACATGGCTCCCAATTTCCCAGTGCCCAGCCCACTGGGTCAGTTCATACTTACAGATGGCCTTGCCACAACCCTCTCATCCACAAGTCCCTGGAAAAGAAAAAGGCCAGTGGGGCTCTCCTGCCTTTGATGCTTTCTGCCTCTGGCTCCACCTGTGCTGGGTCTCAGCAGAAGAGGAAGCTGGAAGTTTAAACTTGGAACCTGACTGGGTCTGCAACTCCACCCATAGCAGAAGTCTGACACTGAGCCTTGGGTAAGCCTTTGATCTAATCTCTTGTACAGTGAAGCAATTCCACGCATGGGTATCATGCAGAGGGGGAAACAGGCGACTTTGCACTCGGGCAGAAAAACCTACAAGTGACTGAGGCAGGAGGATGGTCTTATATGTGCCAATCCAGAGTTTATATGTGCTGAACCCAGGGCTTACATATGCAGCTGTTTCCAGCTGCTCACAAAGCACTGCTTAACCTTTTACCAAATGGGGACCCTAGCTCCCACCCTCACACAGTGAACCAGAATGACCTTCTAGAAATGCAAACAATAGCATGAGAAATTACTCCCAACTCAATCAGTTCCATCTATATGGCATAAACCTTCACAGAGGTCCACAATAAGACCCAGACACCTCACCTAGTCTCACATCCATTATCCTTTCACTCTCAGCCTTGTCCCTAGATCAGGGCATCAGCACTTGCACTCCCTCTCTCTAAACTGATGGACCACATGGCTGGAGAGGCAGAACAATCCTAGAGTTTGGGACTGCCCAGTCAGGCTTAGGACCTTACTTCCTCTCCAATAGGTGATCCCCAGGGAAGAAACAAGGGTTCAGGAATTGCTGGGTGACCTGATGAGAATGTCTATGTGGTTTCCACCAACATCTAAGCTCTCTGGGACTCAGCTCATCAAAAAGATGGGAGTGGTACCACACTGGGACATTGACACCCCAGACTATTCCTATACTACCCTAGAAATGGCCGAGTCCTTACCTGGGATCCAGGTGCTCCTGGAGGCCCTGGGGGACCATGTGGTCCTGGGGGACCTGTGGGTAGAGTCATTGATGAACACCCAAGGCCAGAAAAAGCTCACTGCTCCCCATCAGATCTGAACAGAGACATTCCCAGCATCCTGACCTTGCCCTGGGCCTTCCTCCACTGGTAGCAAATGAAAGTTTGATGAATGAATATCAGAGAAGACCCAGATTCTCAAGACTCCCCCACCCTTCAGATCTCAGAGGCCCACCTTCATCTACCCATCTCCTTCCCATTCCTAATCTACATGGTCACCCCAATCCTGAGACTTGAAGACTGAGCAGGGAGCTAATGCACAATGTCCTAGCCCAGCCTGTCAGTCTCCTGCCAATTTGGAAACCTAAAACCAGCCCCTCTGACATCCCCCATCCATTTTGCCTTGGGTTACCATGAGCACCCACCATGCCCATCCAAACCACACATTTAGAAGCACTCTGTTGGGGTCTCTGATGGCCCCCACCCTGGATAGACTTAATTGTTAACTTGACAGTCTAGCGTCATCTGAGAGGAGACGCCCCGATTGAAGGATTGCCCAAATTAGAATAGTGTGTGGGCATGTCTAGGAGACTGTCTTGATCGTAGTTAACACAGGAGAGCCAGGCCCACTGTGGGCACCCCCCCCCCAGGCAGGTGGCCCTGGCTGGACAAGCTTGAGTCTGTGAGTGAACCAACCAGCAGCAATCTCCCACGGTCGCAGCTTCAGGTCCCCGCCCTGACTTCCCTCAATGGCAGACTGTGACCCGTAAGCTGAAACAGACCTTGTCCTCTCCTAAGCTGCTTTTGGCCATGGTGTTGGTCACAGCAACTGGATAGAAACGGCAACACCCCCAAGCCTCCAGTCAGGCCCTCTTCACCCTCACCCCACGGATACCCTTCTGGAAAGTCCCACTGTTGCTGTTTCTTCCCGTCAACTGAGCAGACTCCCCATTATTCTTTCCTGGTTCTCTAAGGCAGCACTGGATAAGAAGAACCCATAGGATCTTCTCCCCTTCGTTATCCTCATATCTCTTTGGTGCGGGCCAGTCCCTGCTCATGGCCATCATGGGTTCCATGCCTGTTTTCCCCCAACAGCCCAGGGAATGTCCAGAGGACCAGACTTTCAATCCCTGTCCCTGCACAGACTTACACAACTCTCATCAGAGTGTGCCAATGTGGCCACTCTTAGGAGTAGTCATCCCAGGCTGCAGTCCAGTTATAAAACAAACACCACCCCTGCATCCCAAGCATGCCAGAGGTGTGGTACCTGAAGTCCTCAGTACCCCACGAATCTGCTGCCTCACCTCTCAAACACAACCTTCTGTATGAACCCCATTCATCTCCTTTCCAAATCTGTCTCTCACCACTGATTTCTTCCAGAAGCATGGGGAGGGAACTCAGATCCTTGTGCACTCAGCCCCTGTCCCCGGAACAGAGGTAAGCAGCGAGGCAGCAGCCACCTGCATTGTGACAGCTCGCTTATGGAATCCTTGGGGCATGACCTGTGAGCCTCTGTGTACACAGAGGGCCTAGGAGGGATGGGAAATCCCCAGTCTCTCTCCTCCCATAGGGATCTTGTTTTCGCTGCTCACTGCACATCTGTGCCACACCCCACGCCAAGGTCCTCAGCTCCCTCTGCTGCCCTAGTCTGCCCCTGGTCTGAGCTTGCACGGACCCTGGTGCACCTCACATTGTGGTTCACACAAAGACAGCCGGGGACCACTTCATTCGGACAGATATTCAGACATCTGTCCTAGTAGACTCGTTCAGGGCAGATGTGTCCAGTTGTCTCGGGGGGCGGGGGGGCTCAGGTCCAACTGGAAACCATAGACTGCCCAACAGGCCTTCAGTCCCCCCAAGACTCCTGGGCTCAGGACTAAGGGTGAAGCTAGGCTGAGCGCTTGACTGGGTTGGTTCCTAGCACTGCATAAACCAGAGGTACTGGGGGGCACTTCTGCAACCCCAGAACTGGGAGCTGGAGGCAGGAGGACCAGAAGTCGAAGGGTTATCCTTGGCTATATGAGTAAATGGGAGGCCGGCCTGGGCTACATGTTACTCTGTGTCAATAAATGAATGAATGAATGAATGAATGAATGAATAAGTAAGTAAATGAATACATGAATAAATAAAGTAGGAAAAAAGACCTTTGTGCTCCAGATAAGCCCAAGAAGGAATCTACTCACCAGGGGGACCAGGAGGACCCCGGGGACCCGGGATCCCAGTCAGCACCGTGTCAACAACAGCAGGGTTCAGCTGGGTGTCTCCATCTGCAGAGACAGTCACGTGATCAGTAACCAGTTGGGGTGGAGGTGGCCCATCTGGAGGCCGAGTCTGAGGGACCAGTGGGCTCCCCAGAGCCGAGTCCTGGCCCCTCACCCTGTGTGCAAATGGACACTCTGCACTTCCTGCTCAGAAGTAGTGAGGGTAAGGGGTGGGGAGGTGGATCAGTGGTTAGAGTACTTGTTACACAAGCTTGAGGATCTGAGTTTGAATCCCCAGCACCCACATACTGCAGCTGAGAGTGGGAGCACCTCCCTGTAATCCCTACACTGGGGCCTGGAAGCACCAGGGTTGCTGGTCACCAGTGGGCACACCCCAGGTTAGTAGGAGACCCTGTCTCAAATAATGAAAAGCAACAGTGGAAGACACTCGATGTCAGCCTTTGGCCTTTACACACACAGGCACACACCTGCACAAACACATACATAACACATACACACACATGCACACACTCGCATGTGCGCACGCATCAGGATGGATCCTCTGCTGGACTCCTCATGGCTTAGGGGCACACTTTAGTGGCCATTAAGATCACTGCCCACTCCTCAGTACCATCTGCCTTTACCCTAACTAAGGGCATTTCTTCAAGAAAGCCCAGGCTACAGACGAAGTCAGAACCGGCCCCTGTCCCACCTGGCACCCTCTGAATGCACCTAGACTCCCATCCTGCCTTGGGGACAAACCCACGTCTCACTGCAAGCACTCAGGGACTGTGTCCTTCAGTATCCAGAGTGGATGCCTTAGCTTGGCCACCTGGCTGGAAACTGTGGAAACCGAGGCCTGGGTTCAGGAACAGTTATCAGTGCTCAGGTTTGTGTTATGTGTGGGGGCTGAACAGGGGTCTCCCCTACGCCATTCCTATAACTGCTAACAAGAACTCCATACCCACGCTGTCAATCAGATCACCTCCCATCCACTTCTTCAACATTTTATTTTGAGGGCTGGCAAGATGGCTCAGAGGGTAAAGGCACTTGCCACCAAGCCTGATGACCAGAGTTTGATCCTCAGGACCCAATGGTAGAGATAACCGACTTCCACAAGTTGTCTTCTGACCTCTACATGTGAACTATGGCATGACCCTCCCGATAGATAAATAAGTATAAAACATTTACTTTAGTTTACTCTTCTTTTGATGCAATTGTTTATTTATTTATGAGGTACTGGAGATTGAACCCCAAGCCTCATGCATACTACGTAGGTGCTCTACCACTGAGCCACACCCCAGCCCCTCACTGGGGGATTCTAGGCAGGGGCTCTACCACTCAGCCACACCCCAGCCCCTCACTGGGGGATTCTAGGCAGGTGCTCTACCACTCAGCCACACCCCAGCCCCTCACTGGGGGATTCTAGGCAGGTGCTCTAC